ACTAACCCCTGCTAGTGCGGCTTGGCCCCGGTCATCCTGACGAAAGAGAAGGCCAGCCTTGGGCCACCCTGCTCCCCCCAGGGTGTGGCCTCTGGACCATAGTTGTGCGCGAGGAAGCGTGGCCCTCAGTGGCTCGGTAGTACCGAGGTGCCCTGTAATGCAGCTTTGCCAATTGAGCAACGGGGTTGCGGGCGTAGAAACCGTTAGACGAAAGCAGCGGGAACTGCTTCACATTGATTGATTGGCTGCATTGATCAGCCGACCGACGTGTCGTATAATGAAGTGCTTGTGAGTAAAACGTGCCCGATTTTGTATTGATTGACTGGACTGCATTGATTAGCCGACCGAGGTGCCCTGTCCTGTAATGAATCGCTTGTGAGTAAAGCGTGCTCGATTTACATTGATTGAGTGTAAAGAAGCGCTTGTGCGTAAAGCGTGCTCGATCTTATATTGATTGGCTGTAAAGAAGCGCTTGTGAGTAAAGCGTGCTCGATCTTATATTGATTGACAGGACAGGAGTGGTGAGAATTTAGCAGCGCAAACAAGCGGGTATGTCAAGATCTGCTGATCGGCTCCCGCGGTGGCGTTTCCGCTTCCTCCCGCGATCTGCTTTCTCGATGTTGTCGGATTGAGGAACCGTCTCCAGGGTTTTGTCGACTGACTGTTAGGTAGACTCGACTCCGCTTGCGGTGTCTTCCTTAATCTCGCTCCGAGCACTGTTTGGGGGACTTGGACAGTTTCCTCGTTCATTAGTCTTGAGCACCCGTACCGGTGTAGCTTGTCCGTCCGTCTTCTCTCTCTCTCTCTCTCTCTCTCTCTCTCTCTCTCTCTCTCTCTCTCTCTCTCTCTCTCTCTCTCTCTCTCTGTGCTCCTCCCACGCGCCCCCCCTTGCTCTCGCCCTTGGGTCTCTTTTGTCATCTCATTGAGGACTGCCAATTAGAACGGTTCCCTCTCCAGACCTGTGGGAATCGATGGAGCGAGGGCGGCAGCAACGGTCGTCGTCAACACTGGGGGCAAACAGGTACGCTGTGTCCAACACGCGGGACGTTTCTGTGAATGAATGCTTTCTCTTTTCCACCAAATAATTTGGATGCATTCTCTTTTTGTTGTCGATGGTGCTCATCAGTTCGCCAATCGGCTTGGTATCAGCCTTTCCCTTTTCTTCCTTTTGTCTTCTGGTGCTCGGTTCTTTGTTGTTTCATGTGTTTGTTCTTTTTCCGCTGTTTCCTATAGTTTCTCAATGGCTGATGTGTCGCCTCTCCACTTTCTTCTTCCGCGTCGTTGCTGGTTGATCTCTTCTTCGTCCTCTTTTCCATTTTTCTTACCTTC